CGGGAGAATTGAGACGTGAAGCTCGAGACGAATCAGTCGACGGGCAGCAACAATGAGCTAGCGATGATAAGCTCTTGGCTGAATCCATGCGGAGTGGTGATGTAAAGAATGAACATGGGGAATGTTTAGGAGAGGACCGGAGCAACAGTGTGGAGAAGAGGAACGGGAGGAAATTGATTGAGGAAAACAAAGTTTGTGAGATGAGAAAAAGGAGGAGTCACGGCACGGAGTGAACAAAAAAAATGTGTATGTAGACAATGTCGAAAAGACAAAAAGAGGAGCCAAGAAATGAGGAAAAAAAAAAAAAAAAAAAAAAAAGGGCGGTCGCGATGCACAGTCACAGTCGAATCAAGCTCGGAGTGGAGTCCCCGGGGGTCGTGGGGGACCGCGCTAGTCAGCGCCAAGAGTGGCTGTGGCAGGCACGCCCCAAGGGTTCCATTGGTTCGCTTAGCTCAAGCCGAAGGAGGTGGTCCACATTGGTCCATATCAGGTAAGCAGCTGCAGGCAAGGATGGCACGCACCTGCCTTCCCGTGCAGCTGGTGGCAACTGCTCTTGGTCGCTCTTTCCTCTATGGATTTTCAAAGTTCTGGAACATCTTCGGGAATCCGCTGGGCTGGTTGACCAATGAACTCACAGCATGCTCGATACGTACCGCCAGATGTCCATGGAAGTCTCCAGGTCTCCACCGTCTGATCCAACTTGTCATTCTGCAACCTGCATCGATGCACATCACATGGCTTGCACCACATCACAGCAGAGCAACCTGGAAGCTTCAATTTCCATCCTGGTCTCATACACAACCTCTCAAGTCCAAGAGCGTTTGGCCCAGTCCAAAACTCTTGGCCAGCATTACACCAATGGCCCCAGCGCTCAACGAACACCTTGACTCGAGCATTTTCCCGAACTAAAATCATCTAGCGCCACCTCGAGCGCTTTCCCTTTCTGTCTAACGTATGGTGTATCTCTCAGCATCCCGATATCTGCAATTTTTCAAGCATCAACTACCGTGGTTGCGGAAGAATGTCAAGGTCACCATCCCGGTCGCTGCATACCTAACGCGGGGAACGCGGGGAAGCTTGTCGTCTAGCCAGAGAATCTTGGCCATGATCCCCTGAACAAGACGGTCTAGCTTCGACTCAATTGCATCCAACTTGTCCACCTGATCTCGAAAGGGTGTATCGCTTGAAGCATCCAGGTCAGGAAAACATCTATCATCAGCATGGGGTTTTCCGCCAGTCTACAGTGCTGTTCAGTGAGATGAACTAGCGTCACGTTGATCTGTCAAGTCCTACAACGTAACGATGCCATGCAGGCAAACATGCTGCCATGTCGTATCTCATCCATAAAGGAGACATTATCGCCTTTGCGCATGTCAATCAACGAATCTGCCTGGCTATCCAGTTTCTTGGGTATCGTGGCTGGTGTCATTGCCCGTTCCATTTGCGAGTCCTCGCGTAGCTTACGTTCAATTGTCATCAAGCTTTCCTGTCACTGCGGTGCCAACAGAGACGGCGCTTCCCATCATTTCGTTTAACCTGCCAAGAAATTGGTAGTCCAAGGCTGATCCTGAGGTCATACTCGTTCTCGCCACGAGGCTGAGCACTGAGCACTGAGCAAGATGGGGTTCAACCTCCACGCCGATGGGACGAACGATCCCAGTGAAGTCCGCAATTGGCGCATTCACATGATAGCGGTCATTGCCTCAATGAGTGCTATCGCCAGTAAGTTTCACTTCGCCCCCAAGCTCACCAGAGACGGCACCTAGACTAACACAGCCCAGTGGGTTACGACACCTCTGTCATAGGTGGCACCATGGCTCTGGACTCATTCCGCCGGGATTTCGACCTTGCAGATAGCTCGCCAACTGTCCGTGATACTCTCCAAGGCAACATCGTCTCCACGTTTCAGGCAGGATGCTTCTTCGGCGCCCTGCTCATGTTCCCCTTGGCAGAGTGGCTCGGCCGCAAGAGAGCAATCATGATCTCTGCTCTCGTCTTCCTGGTTGGCGGGACTCTCATGACAGCATCCCACGGAGAGATTGGGCTCCTGATTGCCGGAAGAGCCATCGCTGGCTTGGGCATCGGTGCTACATCCCTCATTGTCCCTGTGTACATTTCGGAAATCAGTCCGCCGTCCATTCGCGGCCGCCTCGTTGGGCTTTTTGAAATTGCATCACAGGGAGGAGGGATGTGCGGCTTCTGGGTAAACTACGCGGTGGACCGCACAATCTCAGACTCGACACAAACGCAGTGGATTGTACCCCTCGGCTTGCAGTTGCTTCCGGGTGTGCTTTTGTTCTTTGGCATTTTCGTGTGTCCTGAGTCGCCGAGGTGGCTGGCAAAGAACGATAGATGGGAAGATGCCACGAGAGTCTTGGTTCATGTCCGCGAGCTGCCAGCAGACCATGACTATGTCAGCACCGAGATCAGTGATATCAAGCGCCAAGTAGAAGACGGCAGCGCGAATCGTATGTCAAAGTCTCAAATGTTCAAGCGCTTGTTTGAGAAGGGCTCTCGCAACCGTATTGGCATCGGTCTGCTTCTGATGGCCTGCCAGAATCTGACAGGGGTCAACATCATCACATACTGTGAGTAAAAGAAAACGTTCTTATGATCTAAGTTCTCTTCCACTAACATGAAAAAATAGACTCGCCTCGTATCTTTGAGACTCTTGGCATTACAGGCACGAGCACCAAGCTTTTTGCGACGGGCTTCTACGGTATAGCCAAGACCCTCGGCATGGTCATCTTCACCGTCTGGCTCGCCGAAAAGGTCGGTCGGCGCAATGGTCTCATCTGGGGTGCCTTCGTCGGATCCCTTCCAATGTGGTACATTGGTGGCTTCACGTTTCTTGCGGACCCTGCGGGCCAGGCGGCTGCTGGTAATACCGACCGCAATGCATGGGGGTACATCGCCATGGTTTGCGTGTATCTCTATGGCTTGATCTACTGCGCCACCTGGTGAGGCTCCTTTTACTAGTATCGGTAGTCTATGAGTGAGGCATAAAGTCTAATCAACCCTACAGGCAAGGCATCACATGGCTGTACTGCAGCGAAGTATTCAGCTTAGACATCCGCATGCTCTGCGTCGCAATCACAACAGCAGATCAATGGCTGTGGAGCTTCATTGTCTCACGGACTACGCCTTACATGATTACGTCGCTCGGCTACGGAACTTACATGTTCTTCGGCGCTCTCATGATCCTGATGGGCGTGTGGGCTTTCTTCTTCGTACCGGAAACCAAAGGTAAGTTTTGTTACCCACTCTCACTGGTCTCTACTGCCGTCAGAGTGTATTATCCTCAGCCACTTTCTCCGTCGTCGTTGTCCTTGTGGCTGACGCAGGCGCCCCGTGCTAGGTCTTACGCTGGAAGATATGGATCTACTCTTCATGAGGAGCATGCACACCACGGTCTGGACCGCTTTGCGAGAACGCAAGAGCGTCAAGGATGTCTTGGCGAATACTTCGCCCGCCGCTGTGTACGCGACTGGTTCGGAGGAGAAGGAGATTCGGTTAGAGTACGTGGATACTGTGGAAGACAAGTCAGTGGCAAGATGAGATGGCGCAAGGAGACGCAACGAGCTGGAGGCGGATGGAACGGGTAGTTTCGAGGCGGCCTCTTTTGCAAACATTTGGTAGGGAATTTGGATGTTTCCTTCATTCGTTCGACTGATTGCTCGTTCAATCAAATGGTACTTACGACTCTGTGCGAGGTACTTTCGGGTTTGCCAAGCCCCGCTGTTTACTTTTGCACTGCCCAGCGCAAAAATATGCACTGCCACCGGTAATTATGCGGTGTGACGTAGTTTTATAACTCTTGTCTTTGTAAAGAGCAATTAGATCCCACCGTTTCGTGGTAAAATTCTGGCTGGGTTGTGGTGTGTGTCTCGACTCTCCAGAGGTTGGTCGGATGCGCCAAGTCTTATCTTGACGAGGCGCAGTTCACCGACTTGCAGTGCTTCAAGTGGTTGGGAGCCAAACTTGCACTGATAGCTGCCACACTAAAATTGAACAAACTGAGCTGTTTTCTGCAGGCCGATTTATGAAATGCACCGCCTTTTCTGAGAATTTTCCATCGGCGTTTCGCGGAAAATATGTTGATCTGATAGACACTTGTTGTTTGATCCCAAGCCTCATACCGTGCAATGTAATTGGTCGCTCTAGACCTACTTGGCGGCCCGATAGCCAACCTTCCTAACTTTAATCGGGAGGAATAGCCCCTGGTGAAGAGGGTGATCTTAGCATCACTTCCATAAAACGGGCCGACGCTCGCCGAAATAGGAACATGTTAATTGCAATGAGATTCGTCGATCAGGCAGACTCTGCGTTGAGGGCCTGATAGGCACTCTCGCTGGCAGTGTCATAATGCTAGCCTGCATGAATACATCGCAGCTTACATGAGCTTTTGAAATTGTACTAGGTTCGGACTTGGAGTCATCGTTTATTGCATCGCCAGTTGTACAAAAAAGTCGGCGTTCTTGGTGACGCCTATTCCCGGTGGGATTGATCTTCCTAGAGTCCGGCCTCGGAGTCAAGGGGCCTTGTTCGATTGCCCGTCTGTCCGATCGAAACGGTCGGCTAACACAGCCTCCGCCCAGTTACGCGGGGCCGGAGATTACTGCTGACCTTACTTACGACTGCGGGAACGAGAACGAGGGTGTTACAGACTATGTCGTATCATGTCTCATGGATGATGATGGTGGCACGGGATTTTAGACGGAGATTGACTTCTATAGATCGAATATAACCGAGTTTGCGTCGTTGCCCTCCGATTGTAGATGCTGCAACCACAATCGCCCTAACGAGTCCTTGATCCCGTCGAGTGGAAGCATTCAAAAGGAATCAACTTATTGATTGAACCGAAAATCGTGGTAGCCTGGGCGAAAATCGTGTCCATCCTCTTGAGATTCCTCTGACAATGAATCTACCATCGGAACTACCATTGGAACGTTGCCTTAGATGATCATGATTCTCTCCCTGGCCAAGCTGCTGAACAGCGCTTAAGCCACACCGATATCATTCCTACCCCAGACATCAAAACGACCCAGCCTCTTGTACTTGCACTTCTCCTTCTTCGACTCCTTCAGGATCGAGAATCTCGTGAAGCGAGGGTATTCCGCGTCTTCCACAAAGGCTTCAACCAACTCGCTCGGTAGATCGCATGCCGGCGAGCTGGCCGCAACACCTGTATCTTCCTCACTCACCTCAGCAATTCCCCTCTCGCCCGAAATCTTCCACGACATCTTCACCAGATTGCTCAAGCCATCAACCGTCCCATAAGCCCCCTTTCTCCAGAGCAAAATCCCTCGTCCCCAAAAGCAACACCAAGACCTCGGTAAGATCAGATCCCCATCTCTGCAGCAAACTAGGCGGGTCATCGGGCGCGAACTCGATAAAGATATCATACGTCTCAGCAAGTCTCAGGAAACACATTTCCTTGACGTCGCCGCCCTCGTAGATGCCCTGCATGATGCTCAGCCGTAGGCCGCGAACAAGGTGTCCGTCGAGCGTGACGAAGCCGGACGAGACCTGGCCCGTCGGCTTGTCGGCGTTTGATGTAGACCAGATCGTCACCTCCAGGGTCGTAGTATGTCTTGTGGTCCAGCGTAAAGAGAGTCTCGTTCAACTGAAAGAAACCCTCGGTAGCTGAGTTGCTCCCATCGGCCGCTAAGTGTGAGTGTTGCGCCAGAGTACATCGCATACATGAGAGCCGCTTCGTGAGCCCAATCTTCTACGAAATTTTGAATGATACAAAGCCGACCGACACAGAGATAGTGCAGTTCCAATGTCTTTGCTGCATGAACTATATTTCCTATCGTCTCTGGAAGTTCGCTGATCGAGATACCAAAGTTCTGATGAGCCTAGTAGCTATCTTTGGTAGTGATGAGGCCCGGTCGGCTTGGGCTCCAACAGTGGCTCAACGTAGCGTAACTACCTTCAATCCCCTTTGACTCTTTTAGATAAACGCGTGAGAGATCCTGGCCTTGCAACACCAAGACACGAGACGGTAGGATATGCGGTGAGGTTCCTGCACACTTGGAATGTCTTTTGCAGCGGTCATAGAGCCATGATTTGGCGAGCTAGGTAGCATTTTGCAGATTCCAACCTGCCAAATTCTTCTTTCTTCTTCTGCTGGAAAGACTTTGTTGACGGGCATCTCGTGAGACGAAGTTGTGGGGAAGAGGTTAGCACTCTAAGCCTGATAAAGACTCTTGATGAAGAAACTCTTTGCGCAAGATATACTTCTTACAGATGAAAGGGCCCACGAGCATCTCCTTTTCCATATCCGCAGCATTTCGCCCCCTCCTGGCATATTGCTTTTCCCCGCGCATTTCAAATGCTTCTTCAGTTGCAAGATCAGAAACAATAGAGATCCTCAAACAATCCCGCCACTGTTTCCTGTCCCTGATTGTAACTTTCTCATCATCATCAGGGGGCCACTTGAGGCCTTCTGGAGGATACTGAGCAAACAGTCTCCACACAAAAGTACAGAACACACAGCTTCTACTCTCAGCGACTTCCTTGAGTGTACCGCCCTTCACTGAGAATTCCTCGTAAGGTCAACGGTGCATGTCAGCCGACTTGACCTCGAGTCGCTCAATATCTTCGCAGACGGGGCAAACGGTAGGCTGCACTTGCACTAATCAATAACCTGGGTCGTGATCAATGCCCTGACCGGGAACGACTACGCAAGTCGAACAAAAGTCTGCCTGCGTTCTTTCACAGTCTAGGCACCAGTAACGGAGGCCTGAGATCAACTCATAATCATCTAGATCATTGCGTAGCTTCTCGTACCTGTCGCAAGTTGCGTCGTTATGATTCGGCGGGTCGTGAATGAAGCGAGTGCGAAAGGCATCGTGGAACTCGTATAAAGAATTGACGGCTTCAATTTCAGAATCCTGCAGTTTCTGGATGGCTCTCTCGCGGAGAGGTAAGATATGTCGGGATTTTATCCAGTGTAGGAGTGACATGATTCAGTTGTCTCGTCTTGGGGGCACTGAGAGTTTAGATCCAAGTTGTGCTCTGAGATGGCAATTTATGTATTGACTTGCCCTTCGTCTAAGATATGCGACTTGTGTGTTGCTTGCAGACAGTATGCATTCGGCGCCTCAGCCTCATATGCGCTCCAGGCTTCCATACTGTAGTGCGTCACTCTGACCGGACGGCAACGTGGGCTACCTAGGCAGAGGCTTGTGTGGAAAACATCACCATCGCGACGCTGGGCTAACTTTGGGTCCTCTACCACATCAGGCGGATGCCGCTGTCAGGGAAATGGATTTAATCAATGTTCACCGTATTCACTCACAATCTTGCGTAGGTGCTCGACGTGATGCGAGCTCCAATAGAAGTAAACACTTACACAACTACCGACTTCTACCACATGCAATAGCTTCAGTAATCAACAGGCGCCATCAAGATGTACCTGAGGGCCCCGAGTGTTTGGTGTTAATCGATGGAACAGAAACATTGACACTGCTTAAGTAAGGTAGTCAGCGCTATCAGCTCCTTCGAACCTCATCTTGCTTTTGGGCCTTAAGGTGCGCCAAATCTGTTGCCTACTGGTTTCCAATACGTCGAACCCCCGGATTTGCTTCTTAATCTGGCAAGCACAGACCTGAAAGTAGAACGCAAGGCTGATTTTCAATGCTCAATATGTTCATTTTACGTGACATTTCCGGCTCACGTATGTCTATCTGTGTGATCCACTGCTACTTCCTTGATCAAGTTGTTTTCATCAGGGCATCATCTTTGAAATCCGATTTGGCAAAGAGGGGTCGCCTATAGGGGCGTCGGGCGCTGAGCGGACGGATGGGGGTGCTTCCGTAACGTACCTGAGCATGAGAGTTAATCGAGTCCTTGGTCTGCTCTATCAAGCCATATTCCACGAGGGAAAGACCGAGCCATCGGCAGACTGTGGAGTGACAATGGACTAATTCGTGCGAGGTGAATAAGGCTCAAGACTAGAGAGAGACAAGCTCGATCTTTTCATCCAAGCTACCTCGTCCAATATCATCCTGGCCGAGGTATACTTATTCAGAACTCATCACAGTAAAGTCCATCAATACCCAACTAGTACACGATTCGCTACCGCACTATTGGTAAGTTGACGCTTAGTGACAGGGACCGGGGAATTTTGGACGAGAGACATGTGCATTTCTCCCACCGAGCATTTCTTGCTGGGGAGAACGTGATGCAGGAGCAGAGAATGTCGCCCTGCTACTGGCTTCAGTCCTGTTGAAGATTGCCCAAGGTAGACGTTGCGAACGTTAGTCTAGATCCTGCGCTGTAGAAGTCACATTCGGATAGGCCGACCCTGCCAGTGGGATGGTATTATTGGGGCTCGTCGGATCACAACATGAAACGCCTAGGACGCCCCAGATGCCAACGAAGCCGGGAATGACTGCAAGACTTCCCAGTTCCAATGGGCAAAGTGGCTGTGCCGCTACATTGCATTTTTGAAAGTGAGCATGAAAGAACAGCCACAATAAACAGCAGTGAGCGACCTACAGTGAACACTCATCGGTAAAGACGGATGAACCCCTACGTCTGAAAAGAAGAGTCAAACGTGCAGAGCTGACGTTGGGTTTGGACTTCATCTGAACTTATTAATACTCGACTGTATCATTGGTTTGACGCTAAACTCTGTTCTAGACCAGGCCCAGTAGATCCTAAAGCTTGTTTTAAAAGTCCCCCGCAAAGCGCCCTGCGGAGGCGGGACCTGGACTCATAGAGACTTAGAGTGCCTACCAAAGGCCTGGTCCCCTTACATTATAGTGTGACCACAGCGTCGGTCTCGGTTCTCCTGCTCGGAAATCGAGGTGGCCTCGGCAGCTCGGCCGAAAGGTTGCCTCGAATTATTGGTATTCACGAGATCATGGACGCGAGTAAAGCTTCATGAACTTGCGTTTTCAGTCTAGCTCACGGGTCCGGCTGTGGTTTCGGGTGACTGACCCCTGAACAGGGGATGAAATGATTTGTTCATGAGTCTTCTTTCGACCATTGGTCGAAGAGGTATAATATCATGTTCGGCCGGCCATCAAATCTTAATTCTTTGTACCAATCAGTCTCTTGATATTACAGTAGATCCGTCTTTCGATATCAATCTTCCAGCAAGTCAATGTGTCGGGTTCCCTTCCACGCGAGGCTCTTCGGGCCGTGGCTCGCCATCGCTGCGGTCTTGGTCCTCGGCCAGGACGCAGCAGACAAGGCAAAGTTTGGCGACCCTATCAACGTCCTCGGTAGTGTAAGTGCCCTTTCCATCATCCCAAAATTCTACTTTCATTTGCTAAAGACAACGTCCATCAGATGGAAAGAACCGACCAGGACTTCCAGGACGGCTTAGCACTAGACCTCTTCTCACCCAAGAACCGCACGCTGGTCGTCCAACAGAACCTCACCCCGCTGCCGGGGAACTTCGTGACGGGCACCACGGGCGGTCCCTTCATGGCCCTCCAGAACTACTCGTACGTCATCAGCCTCAACGAGTCGGCGAACGACCTCATCGCCAAGATCGAGATCCCCTACGACCCGGCTGCTCTCGCCGCGATCGGCATACAAGAGAGCAACACCTACGTCGGTACGCTGGCCGGCGACAAACGAAGCTGGATCGTCAACGATGCGACGCGTAACGTGCATAGAGAGGAGAACAATACTCGGATCATCAAGATGACGTCGCTTCAGGGCGAGTATATCCTGCTTGGGCGCAAGACGGTGGATACGGCCAACGAGTTCGTGCAGTATGGTCAGGGAGCTACGAGAACGGTCAACGTCACGGCGGGGAATCGACAGGAAGCCGAGTTTATCGACGGCTTGAGGCTGAGCGTTGTGCCGAGTACCGACATGGGCATCAACATTGATATCGTGAATGGGATTTCACCGCAGGCTGTTCCGCCGGGATTGGTGCCGGTTAACAGCTTCGCGTGGGTTGTCAACTCGAGTTCACCTGGCGCGCCCATGCTCGCAGATATGAAGTTTCCGTGTAAGTCCTCTTGCAAGAGTGCCGTTGAACATACATGATGTAAGCCACGAACTGACAATTTGGTATCTAGTCAATCCATCTATGCTTTCCGCCGTTCGAGGATTTGTTCAGCCTGCCCCCGTCAGGGTGGCAAAGAAAGCACTTGGGACTACTGCCGAAGTACCGTTTCAACTTATGGCCGGGGAGATCATTGGAATCTTGCCAGACAACTCGGTTACCATTCCCAATGTAACACAGGTAGACGGGCAGTATGTGTTGCTCATGGTATCATAGGATCGATTCGTCAATAGATAGTACATACCTTGCTACATATCAGTCACAATGACACAAGTGTTTCCCGCTAGCGTGACCAATGAGTGTATTTGAACGTACCACCTGGCTTGAAGGTTGAGCTTGAAGATAGTCGATGCCGTATAAGCCGTAGCCACATGTATCCAAATCTTCGCAAAATATGATTAGAAAGGATGCTAGTAAAACATTAAACATTGGA